TTTTTCTTTCTCTCTCTTTTTTTTTTGGGGGGGAGGGGGTGTTTCAAGGCAGGGTTCCTCTGTGTAACAGCCCTAGCTGTCCTGGAACTCACTCTATAGTCCAGGCTGGCCTCGACTTCACAGAGATCTGCCTGCTTCTGCCTCCCAGTACAGGGATAAAGGCGTGCGCCACCACTGCGATTCTATGAGACTTCCTTGCCCTGGTTTCAAAATGCAGTCTGCTGATTCCTCTTCTGGAAAACAAGGGGCAGAGGAGAGGGTCTCTAAATTCCCATACTAAATAGAATATTTAGTGTTCAGGGAAACTGCATTCATCCCTAGAAAAGGTCAAACTAAAACAGATTATTTCTGGGCCGTGACTAGTTCCCGGACTTCTTATTCGCTGGTGTGATGGAAGCACACAGCGCTGTGAGTCAGGGAAGGGGAGCAATCCCCCAGTCTGAAAACCTCGGCCTTCGGGACCCATTCTGCTTTTCGTCAGTTGTAAGGTTCATTCCCCCATCCCTCAGTGCTGCTGAAATACCCCTCTCAAGATAGGAGAATTAACGCTCATGTGTGGATTTTTCTGAACACTGTTAAAGAGTACGTGTCTGAAAACGGGGCTTCCTCACATTGCCTGTGCAGTGTTCCTGAGAAAAGCATATGAGATGGTGTGTACAGATTGATCAGAACGATTGCTGGACTCCTTAGAAGCTTTGGAGAATACAATGAATCTCCCACGGGGGCCTAGGATGGCAAAGGGGAGGACTAAGAACTGGAGCTCAGGGGGCAAGCATCTATCTGGCACCAATAGTGCTAGCATTCCTGCCTTAGCCTGAGTATCAGCATGTTTCTGGGCACCCTGTGGCAAGGTGGCACCCGTCCACCCAGGGAGCAGAGTTAGTAAAGGCTCTGGATGGACATACATGAGCTACTCACTGGCCTATTGGTTAGTTTCCATTTTTGAGAATGGCCTCCCATAGTCCACTGCACAGTGACCAACCAGGCCCAGAAAGGCTGCTCTAGACAGAGACACTGAGGAAGAAAGCCAGCCCTGCAAACCACACGGGAGACACATGATCAAAAATGTGGGGTGCTGTTGGGGGTGGGGAGAGGGCATGGGGTGTGTTGTGAATGTAATATTCCCCACATTTAAATATTTGGATATGTGGGTCTCCAGCTATTGGCCCTCTTTGGGAAGATAAAGCTCAGCCTGGCTTGGAACACATCATTTCACATTCAAAGCTCAGCAGGGTGTTGTCAGGGCGGGAAGCCTAGCGGAAGGGAAAAGCCCCAGTAGAGATGTGAAGGATGAATTACCACAGCCTGACCAGATCAGAGGAAAGGAAGGTGGGTGCTTAGATGTGGCAGCCGTGGTGGCAAATGCCTATAAGCGCAGCACTTGGGAGGCCAAGGCAGAGTGATGGCAAGTTCAAGTCTAGCCTAGGCTATGCAGTCACACCCCATCTCAAAAACCAAAACTAAAACAAAGGCAGAGAGGCAATTCTGGGCAATTTGGGGTGCTGGGGTTCTGGGGCAGAGATGGAATGATGGTATAGGAACCTGGACGGGGAGCTAGGTTGGGGCCTGGCAGAGAACCATCTGACAGCTCCCTGCAGGCTTCACAACAGGGCCCCAGGCCTGGTCGCAGCATTTGCTACCCACAGTCACGGGTTGATAAAGGCCTGGCCGAGGCCCCTGAGCCCCCTCTTCCCGTTAAGCTGTAATGCACATGGTCACTCCCCACAGACTAATACCACATCTCTAAAAGATACAGCTCCCAGACAAACCTCAATGACTACAGAGCATTCTCCAGCTCTGCTGACTTCCAGACAGAGGACCAAAGACTGAGCTGGGCCAGAAAGACTGACTGGAACAGAGTTTACCCAGAACCATGAGCTGATTGGGTCTGCCCATTGTAGGTATAGGGAACTCATCAATGGTGCTTGAGTCTCGAGCCCTTCACAGGGCTGGTAGAATTGACTTCCCTTGGCCACAGAAGTCCACGAAGCTCCCTTTGTTATCCTTCAGTGGTTGGGACCATCCTAAACCTCCTGGGAGTTGTGGGTTGGCCCACAGTGTGGGCTGAACACTTGGATGTGCTCGAACATCAGACTGAGCCAACTAAAATTACATAAGAAGCACAAGTTTAGGAGGGATAAGGTGGCAAATGGAGGGTTGTTTTAAGAAAGAAGGTAGCTAAGCAGATGGCACTGGAAACAGCTCACTGTTGAAACAGTCCAAAGGGGTGGGGGAGCTACAGTTTGTTGGTAGGTTTTATTTGTAGGCCTTTTTCTTTTCCTATAGCAAAAGAAAACACAAGCCACGTTCCCTGTGCCATGCAACCAACATAAATCTTTAGCAACTCCCACGGGAGAGAATGCGGTCTGCTGTATTCGAGTTGGTCCTTAAATATTACTTCAGGACTGTTTTTCCTGTCGGTATTAACAACAGAGTTTCCTGGGGGTAGAGCTGTCCCAGGCTCCCTTGGGCTGGCCTGTTCATCATGGCAGCAGCTGGGGATAAGCTGGACACAAAGACTTGTGTCTCAGGAGGGTCGGTCCCTAGATACGGAAAGTGGAGGAATTTTCTCATTAGTCGGAAGTCTGGACTTTCATCAGGTGCCCCCGGTGCAGATGGCAGCAGAGAGGAAGGCTCTCTGAGGGTGGGGGAGGCGCGGGGACCTCCACAGGGCTTCCACTGGACAACTGGGAGTTTCCAAAGCAAGCTTTCTTGGAAGATGAAGAGCAGACATGCCACTGGTACTTAGGGAGGTAGCGAGTCTGCCCACAGGAGCTATCTGTACTTGTCCCTACTTCCAGGAGAGCCATGGTAGGGGGTGTTCCCTGTGAAGCACCCTAAACCTCAGGGGTGGGGGGGGCGGGTTGTGGGGACCACTACTGAGTGAATCTAAGGGATCCCAAGGGCCAAAATCTTAGAGATAATCATTATAGCCAGGCTGGACTGGGAAGCTCAGAGGGGTGGGATGGCAGGGAACAAAGGAGCAGTGGAAGCCTACAACTCTCCCGAGCACTCCTAGCACCCCCACACCTCAGGGGGATTCCAAAATTGGTGAACAAACTGACCAAGAAGGAATTCTCTGAGTTTGGGACACATCTGTGACTGTTTAGAAGTGCTAATCCCATTACGTTTGAATATCAGCTGGGGTTCCCCACCAGCATTGCACAGACCCTGGGAACAAAGAAGAGTTCTTAAGGTCCTCTAGGAGACTACCGGTGTCCCTTAGGAATCGCTGTAAACCCGGAGGAAACGGACCTTCCTACAGTGAAATGGACTGGCCTGCTTTGGGTGGCTCCGCCATGCTCTAAGACATTGGCATCAGTGTCTGGATAAAAGTGCAGTCTTTGTCCCTTTAGTTCCTAGACCAGTGTGGTTCACCTTAGAAGACAGCACAGAAAAAGGGTCATGTGCACATCCACTTCCACACTTAGAATTTCCCCCCAACGCTTTTCATAACCATTTCTGCACACTTGTCTATAGGCAAAAACAATAACAAAAACCCAACCCAAGCCAAAAAAAAAAAAAAAAAAATAAAAAAACAAAAAAACAAAAAAACAACCCAACTTTGCACAGCAGTGGGAAAGGAGGGCTCGGAACAGGCAAATTTCACACCTGAATTGATGACGGAAGCAAATCCCCAAACCATCCAATGGGAGAGGTCGCCTAAAGAACGGTCACCAGAGCACACGCTTAAAGGCAAATGTCGCTACTGTAAGCATTTCCAATGCATTTCCCCATGCATGGACGACCGCTGGGTCGGTTTTTGTGTTACTCCTGTTTTCTTGGAGTAATATAGCCTTGCCCCACAGTGGGGCAAGCAAGCTCGCTTAGAAAACCCGGGTTTTCTCTTCTTTGTTCCCTTGGGAAAACACAGTGAGATGCAGAAAAGGTCAGAGCCTTCACTTCATGTAGAGATGCTCCTGACATAGAAGCAGGGAGCCTCAACATACTGGGCCATAGACTCCAAACCCAGGTTTAGTCACGGCAGCGAATGAAAGGCCTAGACAAAAAAGACCCATATCTTTCCCCTCTGGTAACATGGATGGCTTGTGTGAACGCAGTGGAAGCCCCTTTCCCTCCCTTCCCTTTCCCTCTCTACCATCTTCCTTCTGAGGAAATCAAAGGCTTGACTGACAGTCTAGAGCAGTGGTTCCCAACCTTCCTGATGCTGCGACCCTTTAACACAGTTCCTCATGGGGTGGTGACCCCCAACCATAAAATGATTTTCATTGCTATTTAGGAATCTATTTATGAACTCTAATTTATGAACCATATTGTTATGCTGCTGTTATGAATCATAATAGAAATATCTGTGCTCTCTATTGGTCTTGTGAAAGGGGAGTCGTGACCCACAGGTTGAGAACTGCTTCTAGAGCACGAGTCCTCTGGCCCTGAAATCTGACAGCAGTAACAGCAAAGGGGCTCCACACCAGTTCTTGTTCATGACGTCAGCAAATGTCACCAAGGGCTGTCCCAGTCCAGAGCAGCCACGGAAAAGCAACTTCCCCCAAGTCGACAGCTTTGAGTATTTCCCCGCTAGTCCCTGATGCTAACTAACTCCCTTCGAGGGAGCTGCTCTGGTCTCTGTGGTGAGTGTGCACACAAACATGTCACTCCATCCCTCTGTGATGGAAGTAGGCTGCCAAGCCTTAGGGTAAGACCTTCAAGAAGGATTCAATGGGCATCTGAGTTTCCTTACAGCTTCCCCCCCAAGGAGGGCTGGACACGTATCCATCATGGTGATGGTCCAGAAAGTCACAGGTGGAGACTCTTCCAGCAGTCAGCAAGTCAGTGGCATAAAACACGGTCCATCCTAAATGCATCTTTGTTACTCTAACAGTCTCAAGTTGGAGGTTTGTTTGCAGTAGCCTCCTTCATCATCTCTTCCAGCTCCCTCATCCCTCCATCTTGCAGGTTTGCAAAGCAAAATTTCATGGTCCTGCACCTACCCAGGACTCCAGAATTTTCCACTAGTCAGGAGGAAAAAAAGACAAGCCAGCAAAACACATTACCATTTTATTATGTAATTTCCTTCTACAAGAAAAAAAATCTCTAAAAATATAAATATGAACTCTCTAAAAAATACCCAGAATAGAACTATAATCTTGTTCTTCCAAACAGGGACCAACCCTGCTCTGTAAAAGATGATGGATTCGAAACACATGTCTTCATATCTCCCAGATACAGAACATTCACAGATACATTTCTAGAGAGAAGAGTGGGCTGGGACAGGGGAGGGGATATCTTCTCTCCAGGCTTCTGGAAGCTTACTTTGTGATCGCTCTATCACGGTAAAGCTATGGACTGAACAGGAGTAAATGACAGGGTTGGAAAGAAGTGGAAGAAAAGGCTCCAAGGCCCCAGCTTCTTTAAACATAGAATTCATATCCTTCATTCCTCTCCATTAGCCTACCCTCACCCCCATGCAGATCAAGCTACGCGAAAACTAAGCCTCCCAGGGGATCTCGATTCACTGTGAAGGCTGCTGTGCTGCAGTCCACACTGCTGAGATGGTCAGCGAGCCTGTCGCGGCCCGAGATGGAAGAGCTGGTGTGAGTCAAAGCCCTCAAGAGGATTTGTTCCTGCTGGTCCCTGGGAAGCACTTAGCCCCTAGCACCAGGCCATATCTGCAGCATCTAAGACAAGGCTCAGTCTCAAAGGACCTCCTGAGGTAGCAGCATCACTTCTGTAGCAGGGAGATGGCCAAGACGACATCCATGGCACCTAATTCAACATCAAACGCCATCTAAAGTACTCGGAAGTTTCCTTTACAGGGGTCTTGGGACAATATGGTGGGATCTCTTGGCAAATCCTGGGCCCAAGGGCCAGGACTCCAGCAGCGGCCTGATTGCTTAGGTAAGCCAAGCCTCACGTTGTCGGTCTTGGGCAACCTTATCACTTCATCTTTGGGGAGAAACAGCCCCATTGGGCAGCTACTGGCAGAGCTTCCCATTAGAGGAGCAAACCAAGATTCTGGTATGGAGAGCTCAGATTATACTGGACTTGTTCTCTGGTGCATGCTTAGACTTCCCACCCCACAGCCTGAACTCTCTCTGTTTTGGGCAATCACAAATCATTCTGGGAAAATTCATAGGTCCTCAAAGGCTAGTTCTAAGGACTTCTCCGACTTCAGGGTCAGATGTCACATCTTTGGGATGCTCTTGGAGCAAGGCACATGTGATGCATATACTCCTGTATACTCCACCAGGGCCTTCAGATGCCTGGCTACACGGGTTCTCATCTGAGAGGGAGAGATAGGACTTTGTAGGGAGCTGGGATGGGTCAGAGGGCAGAGATGGCTGAAGCCATACAGCTGCTTAAGCAAGTCAATGAGAAAAAGAAACCTCATCCCAGGGATCCTGCTGAGGCCTCCTCTTCTGGTTCTGCGGGAGTTAGCTCAGATGTCTGCTGGTTAGGAGGAGGGCAGCCCATTGGTGATGTTGAACTGGGAAGTGAGACCCGTGTGCCCAATCTCACAGATGGGAAGCCAACCAAGCAGAAAGGGGAGGACCACAGAGAGCAGAGAAAACTGCTACATGGCCTGCCCTGGCTGGATGCACCATCTCCAGCCTTCTTGTGGGGCTCTGACCTCTTTGTTCAAGAATAGGGATGTCCTCTTCTGGCTACAAAGACCCTTGTGGCTGGGGTCACTACAGAGCCTCCAGGCCACAGGAAGACAGCATGATAGGGCCCCTGGAGGGAGAAAGGAATACAAAGCAAGTTAACCTGGAAGGCAGGGGCTGGTCAAGGGTCGATAAGCCTTGTTGGTTCCTTACACAGATCCTGTGGGCAGAAGCAGAGGAAGATCGCCCTTACCTGGATGAAGGACAGCAGCTTGGGTATCTCTGGGCAGGCCCGGGGCTGCAGGGAATTCAGGCAACCTCAGCACAAGCATAAAGCAGCACACACACACACACTCGCCAGCATCTGCTCTGTCTCCACAGCCCTCAGCACATTCCAGTCTCTCACATGCTCCACCCTGGCTCCCGCACACACTCTTCCCAGGCCCCAGCACTGCCTCCTGGGTGTGGAGTGGCCTGAGAAGCTGCCCTGACCTCAGTGATCCCCTTCTCAGTCCTCACTTCACTCTTCTCTGTGATCTCTGCTCTTGGCTCTTGTAGGCCGAGTCCATGTTCCCAAGCTCTCCTTTTGAACATCAGAACATTCTCTGCTGCTTCTGCAGGGGCCTGCCTACCCCCGTCTTCACACACACACAGCAAGGAACCCCGGCACAACTGCCCATACCATTTTCCTAAGTGTCTATCCAGAGAGGTAGGGCTACATCTAACTGGATGGGAAAACCCTGGGGACTCGGGTGACAAGGTTCAACCTTTGAGGTAGTCCTCAAGGTCCCAAGCCTGGGAAGAACATCCTCTAGCCCTAACCCAGAAACAGAGGAACGATGGTGGCTAGGGCTCCACGCGGCCTAGAGACTGAAGGAACTATGATCAGGTTGTAGTCAGGCCTTTCCCATCATCAAGCCAAATCTACCGATCTTCCCTAGCAGTACTGCCATCAAGGCAGGGAGGCCTGCCACCATTATGGAGCAAAGGGGCAGAATCGGGGATTGGGGTGGGGATGAAAGAACAGAGAGCATATGCATCTAATCAGACAGCAAAGAGAATTCCTGCCAGGCCCATCCTCTTAGGCTGGTGGCCCCGTAATTCCGTAGGAAGCTGGGACAAGCCTGAGAGTGGATGATGAGTCCCAGCAGCAGCCAGAAGATCTTACAGAGAAGTAGGATCCTTTGCCATTCTGCAGACCCCCTTGACTGGGACTACTTGTGGCCATCTGGTCCCGCAACCCCTCAGGTAGAAAGGGGAGCTCTGCTCTGCCTCCCAAAAGGAAGATGAGGGCGTGGCAGAGCTGGACAAAGGACCTGTGTGCAGTGGAGGACACAGTGAAGAACGTGCTCAGCAGGGAAGACAAGGCGCACTACTCGAAGGACAGCAGGTCCGGGTGAAGCCCCTCCTTGTCAAGGCTGCAGGTCCGTGCCTGTGGAGGTGGGCTGTTGTTCTCCAAGGACTCAGCCAGGCTGATGGGGCTCAAGCTGAGTTTGAGGCCGTTCCTCTCAATGGGAGCCGGGGAGGAGGTTTTTCTGCACTCGTTTGCTTTCAGCTTGGGTTCCTCCTGGTTGCTCTTGTGTATTAGGTCAGGTACCAACAGGGACACCTCCCCGTTGGGCAGAGCCTCTTCCCTGTCTCCCACTTCACTGACAGACTCTGGCCGAGAGGTATCTGCAGAGACAGGCCGGGCAGTGGGGGGAGAGTCCTGGGCCTGCTCAGGTGACAATTCCGTCCCGTATTCGAGACTGCTTAGGACAGGCTGTGATGAGATCAGCATGTCCTGGGTGGTCTTCAGGGCCCGAGGGGTTCGCTTCCGGGTTATGGGAGGTGGAGGATCCAGCAGAGGGAAGGCTTCTTGGACAGACCTGCAAGACCGTGACAATAAACACCCAGGCTTTATGATGGCTGAGACACCGATCTATACGCATTCTCAAGTCTCTACTCCGGCTGCTCCTTCAGCTTGCCTCTCCTGTCTTTCCCTAGTATCTGCTTCCTCTGTTGAGTGCTCATTGTGGGTTTAGAGTGCAGATATTAGCAACTTCAGCACAGTTAGCTACACGGCTCTTCCCTCCTCATTCAGTGCTCAAGCGGCAAAGAGTGCTGCCTCTGTGAGGCTGGATAAAGATCCCAGTCCTCGTGGAACCTGAGTACTGGGCCCTGAGAAAGGGTGCATGAGCTCTTGGTATAGGTGTTGGCTCCAAGGCCCAGAAAGGAGCTGTCGGGTGGAAAGGGAAGTAGCGGTAGCAGCTGGTTTCTCCCTTCCTTTCAGGCACCCAGGCTATAGCAACAGTTCTCAGGAATGGCTGGCATCAGAGCCCACGTGGGGAGTTTCTGGACAATACCTGGCTTCAAATTCAGTTCCAAATACTAACTGAGAGGCACAGCTATCTCTCTGAACTGGAGTCACTTGCAAGGGAAAATATATCTAAACCTGCCATGGTGGCTCACATCTATAATCCCAAGAAAGCCAAGACAGGAGAACTGCCATGAATTGGAGGTCAGTTTGGGTCAGAAAGTGAGCTTCAGGCTAGCCTGGGTTACAGTGTGAAGCAGAGCTAAGGCCATAACACCCAGTCAGAAAATGCTTTCTTTGGCTATAGAGGCTGAAGTGGGCTCTCAAGGACACAGGTCTATCTCAGTTTTCCTTGCCAACTGCTCATCCTTTCCTTGGGTCTGTTCTCCTCTGAAGACAGTGTAGTCTGTCCATGTTCCTACCCCTTCAAGTGGGATAATGGGCGACTGGGAGGCCTCACCTTTCATCCTCTAACCAGGCTCCACAGGCCGCATCTTCCCCACCAGCCAGCTGGGCCCCAGCGGTCTTGTTAATCTCCGTCACACCCACACTGCCCAGGCTTGAGGGCTCCTTTCTTCGCAGGAGGTCATTGACCTTGGCCCCCATGGCTTTGCCCAGGTTCTTAAGGTGCTGACTGCTGCCCACCCTCAGTCCTGGTCCTCCTGGTTCTACAGAGACAGGGGTGGTGGAGTTTGGGGCCACAGATCTGGACAGGTGTGGGAAGGAACGGCTGGACTGGAGCTTTGGAGTGAGGGCTGTGTTCAGATTCTCAAACATGCTGTGGTCAACTACGAACAAAGAAGAAAGAGAGACATGTAAGCCGAGAGGAGGGGGACTCTGGTCTCTGTTACTCAGCTTTCCTTCTTTTATAATACACTCAACATTTATCAACTCACAGAAGTTTGGAAGTTTCCCATAAAGATGCCTTTAAACTTCCCAGGGTAGTTTCTTGTGATAGGACATGAGACCAGTTGTTCCCCACCCTGGTCAATCAGTAACTTGACTCCAGCCAGAAAAAGTCAAGCATATTCCTTAAAACCAGCTTCCATGACTCATGGTTTGACCTCTTTGGCCTCAGGGTCGCCAGACCCTTTGAAGCAGAGAGAAAATGAAGATGAGACGTGAAAGGCGACCGGTTTGCACTGAGGCGAGCACATATGCTGCTCTCTCTCCTCGGGCACTGGGCGCGGGTTCTCTGTCGGGAGCTGCCTACTGTGTGTGTCACATTGTCTCCATGGAATATGGGCCAACAGCTCCCAAGGTCTCCTGGGGTGAAACTTGGGAGAGTAGGTAAACTTGTAGACACAGAGATCAGGCAGCCAATCGGGGCCTTGCTTCCAGTAAAGGACAAATGTCCCCATGAAAACCAACTAAAGAAGTTCATTAGACTACGGAGAGGCTCAGAGTAGTAATGGAGGGCCTGGTATCACGATACGAGCTATTGATTGGCTGGGATCAGAACTCAGGTCTTCTAAGCCTGAGTCTTGGGCTCCATCCTCTACTTGGGTCATAGAATGGCTATGGAAGATGTTCCTCTTGGGACCTCTGAATGGCTTAACAGTTGGCTTGAGGGTTAGTTTACTGGGCGGTAAACACTCCCAAGGCTGAGGCCACACATCATGTATCTTTGCATTTATATCCTCAACACCAAGTGTGGGTCTGGTACACAGCAGGTATTCAGTGAGTATCTCGAATGAACTGCCCCAATCTACTTGGCCAGTAAAGCATGAGGAAGGGCAAGAGGGCAGCAGCCCTGAGGTCTGTTGTGGAGACAGTTAGAGCTCCAGGCTCTCCTGTGCTGCTCACACACTGGGTGCTGTCTAATTTTATGTCAATTCGACACAGGCTAGAGCCATCAGAGAGGAGGGAGCCAGCCTCAACTAAGAAAATGTCTCCATAAGGTGACACCCTAAGCAAGCCTGTAATTCGTGACTGATGGAGGAGGGCCCAGCTCATTGTGGCTGATGCCATCCCTGAGCTGGTGGTCCTGGGCTCTCTAAGAAAAGCAGGCTGAGCAAGCCACAGGGATCAACATAGTCAGCAGCATCCCTCCACGGCCTCTGTATCAGTTCCTGCTTCCAGGTTCCTGCCCTGTTTGAGCTCCTGTTCTGACTTCCTTCAGTGATGGTCTATGGATGTGAAAATGTAAGCTAAATAAACCCTTTCCTCCCCAGCTCGCCTTTGGTCATGGTGTTTCATCACAGCAATAGTAACCCCAGGATGCGGTGACTCCTAGGCATTCGTGTAGGTCATTAAAGGCGCCAGACTTGAAGCCTCAGTTATCCGTGACCATTGTTATAGTTTTATTGTCTATCTGGATGAAGAGAGGTTGCATGTGGTCCCTGGACTGTCATTGCCAATAGTTCTGCTAATGGTCTATCTCAGTAAAGCTTTCCTACGATTGCCTGAGGATACGCCTTCATGTTCTGTCTCATTTGTCCTGAATTGCTGCGTTCCAGACTAGGGGGAATGCTTCGCTTTCTGTGATTTGAGTTGACAGATCCCCCATTGGATCAGTCACCTAGATAACTTGTATTTCAAGGGTCCCTGGGTAACAGGGCAAGTGCCATGGGAAGAAGAGTGGAGTTCTCACCCATGGGTGACTTCCATGGTCTTTACCTCTGAGTAGCCTTGACCCATGGACACATTTTCTCTTGGAATATGGGCTGGCAGGTCCTCAGGGCTCCTAGGATGGAATTACCGTGGGAATTTGGGACAAGTCCCCAGCTGTTTGGACTCCAGATGTGCACCCAGTACACTGACACAGCTCTCAGCCTACCCCACAGCTGCTCCTGACCATTCTCTTAAGAGTGTATCTTACCATATCATATACTTTGGCCTAATTTGCCTATCATGACTTAAATCCTTTCGTTTTATTTACTCAGGCACTCCACAAGCTGGCCAAGGTTATTTGGAAACTAATTTCACTATCCCTCTCCCCTGCCCCCATCCAGAAAATGCAAAGAACAGAAAGGAATTGTATGCAATGTTCTATAGGTGTGTAATAGGAACAGCAAGTTCTTCACTGTTTCCTGGACCTTCTATTTCTCTGGTGGTTTCTATATATTATTAGAGCAAACACACTCAGTTTTTAAGGTGGAAACCCTAAAACTGCCTATCAATGTGATTTGTAAATCAGGAGAGCTTTTGAAGCACACCTTTAACTAACAACTTAGATGATGCCTCATCTGGATTTTCTGTACTTCTCTGTGAAGATTCTAAACTCAGGAATTTAAAGTGGATCTATTATATGATTTCTTTATCATTACCTCAGTTTTCCTAGAAAATACACCTGGTCTATCGAACAGAATGGGAATGCCCTCGAAAGGGGCTATAGGATCTTAGAGTATTTTCATTATCCACAGGTCTTGCATAACAACAAGCATTTAATAAATTAGTTTAATTGAATTTGACTTTTATGTGAATTATGAAAAAAGAAAACCCACATTTCAATGATGGGCTGATAATAGAAGCAGTCGCTCAGGCTGGCTCCAGACTTGGGGAGAGACTCAGGAAGCACTCAAGCCCTCGCTGTGGCGGTGGCTACAAGCACTTGTGAGCACAGGCTAGGGAACATTGTCTTCTCTGTCTAGCTGGCCTCTGTCGTCCCTACTGTGGGCCCCTTTCCTGCTAATGGCCTTCTCGCACTCTGTCCCTTCAGCCCCAGTCTTGGTGACTGAGAATATTGACAACGGATGGCAGATGACTGGATCCAGCAGGGAGCCCCCCCCAGTCACACCCCATTACATGCACATATTCAAGCAGGGGTGGGGTATTTGGGAAAATACATCATCCATAAGGAGGAGGGGATCTTACCTGTCCGAGAAAAGGGCTCGAAAGGCAGGTGGGGAACAAATGAGAAAAAGACACATTTATGTAGTGACCAACCACTGTGAGAGAGGTAGCTCCTGTTTGAGCCATCAGCAACAACACAGGAACAAGGCTGTGCCACAAACCTTTTTAGCAAACCATGGAAAGTCCAAGTTCCCACAGACTCTCCAGTAGCTAAATCAAAACAGGGCCGTGTTTTCAAAACAACGAAAAGACACTACTACAGCCTTCCCAACTTCCCTCCCGACATATTGGGCCGCTTTACAAGAATTCTATGTACCTAGTTTGCACTTGAACCCTGCGCAGAAAACTCACATCCATGCGCCTTTCACATGTAAACTGCTACATTGTAGCCAGGAAGACATCCATTCACACACTCTCACTCAGTCTAAAGAAACAGTACAGAAAAGCCAAGTGGCAGAGGCTGCCCACCACAGAGGCAGCTGATGGAAAAGGGGATTCAAAATCATGTAACCTGACCCCAAGACCCGAGCTTTCCCTTACACCAAGGTGACCCAAAAGACATGGTCAACAACCTTAGAGCCACCAAAATATTAAAGTTCAGTATACACTGCCAACATTCTAGCAGTCTTAGCCAACCATGGGGAGGTTCCCTCATTCCTTCAAATGTTCAGGTAGCTGGGAGTAAATGCTCAGACAGCCTCTACAAGATGGTCATGGTTGGGAGTTTAGGATGGGACTGTCTTTCTCAGACAGTGTGTAAAAATTGCCATTTACACCCAAAGCACTTCTGGGTAGCTAAATTGATGGACTTCAATGATCGAGAATGGGGCACCCGAATCTTCTCTTCCAAAGGTCACAATCATCTTTTACTCTTATTCTAGGTCCTACAAAGGCACCAAGATGTTATATAGGAAAGGAAGGCAGAGAGCTAGAGCGGCCCCAGAGCCCACAGTCTCATCAGCACACTGCCTCATAATGAGGGAAGTAGGATGGAGGAAGCCACTTGTCTAAAAGAGCACAGCAGTTAGAAAGAATATCTGATCCCTAACCTTAGGAAATATAAGTTGAAGTGTTTAGGTATAAAAGGATATAGCGTAACTTACCTCCAAATAGTTCAAATAAACAAAGCATATTAAGGACTGGGAATGTTGTTCAGTGGTAGAGTGCTTACTCAGCAAATACAAAGCGTTGAGTTCCATTCCCAATCACAAACACACACACATGCATACACTTCCACATGCATGCACACACGCATACGTGCATGTGTATACACACAAATTATGACTGGAAGAGGAACTGATAACACAAATGGGATAAAACGTTAAAACAGGAAAATCTACCTACACAGTACATGGATGTTTTTGTACTAATTTTAAGTTTTGCAAACTTTAGAAATTAAAATTATTTCCCAAATGTGTATCAAAAAGCATGCTCTAAACAACACAACCAATAGAACAAGACAACAAAAATACCTAGTAGAGGGAGAGGCTAGGAAAATAAGAGAGAAGGAAAGCAAGGTGGTCACTCCCAGAGGACAGAGGGTCCCAGATATGGGAACACATGGGGATGTTAACACCGAAACGGGGACACGCATAAAGAAAATAGGGGACAAACGACACCACCGCCATGGCTCTACAATAGTCTTCTTTCTGGCTGGGCTCTCTCAGCCAAGATGGGCCACTGAGGAATGACAAAAACAAACAAAACGAACAAAAAGCCACCACCACCACCAACAACAATGAAGACAGAAAAATAAAGGAAGAGAAGGAAGGTAGGAAGGAAGGAAGGAAGGAAGGAAGAAAGAAAGAAAGAAAGAAAGAAAGAAAGAAAGAAAGAAAGCTAGATTCCGGCTAATAGCCCCCACCTGAAGTATGGCCGGCAGAGACTTCCTTCCATCTGTGGATACCTGTTCACTCCATCGAGAGTTTCTTTTGCTATCAGTGGTTTTTTAATTTCATGCGGTTCCATCCTGGGGCTATTTCCTGAGTCCCTGGAGTTCTGCTTAGAAAGCTCTTGATGATAGCTATAATCTTGAATAATTCCTCTAGCAATTCCAGCATTTCTGGGTTGTAATTGTCTCTGTTCTACTCTGAAGTCACCTTTGCATGGGAGGAAGGACCTCAGGTCTGACTGTATTCTTTCGCAGACAGATGCAGTTTCGCTAGAACCATTTGTCTTTTCCCCATTGCACGCTTTTGACACCTTTGTAAAAAATGAGGTGGCTACAGCTTTGCCAGTTTATTTCTAGGTCCCCTGTTTTATTAGTCTAGCACCTGTGGAAATTATAATATTAAACAAGGCGAACCAACTCAGAAAGATTAAAAGCTGGACATCTTTTTTTAGGTGCGGATTCTAGTTTGCGTTGTATATAGATGGGTGTCAGGGTGGTTAGGGTCCAAAAAAAAAAAACAAACTAGAAAAAGAAACCCAGAAATAATAAAAAGAGATGCCAAGGAAAGTGGAAAAGAACATAAGTGCACATGGATGTGAAAACAGGAAGGATGCTGGGAAAGCTGTGGGGGTTGGGTGGTTAGAGGGGGCAGAGAAGGGAGAAGAATCTACTAAAACACAACTTTGTTCAAAAATTCTATAATGATAGCTAATCTTTGTATAACGATTAAAAATTTTAAGTTATGAAGAAACAAGAAAACAAAAAAAAAATAGCTATGTTTTTAAAAGGCCAAAGTCTTGCATCCAAGAACACTACATCCATCTTTTAAACTCGTAATGGAATCGCGGGACCTTGTGATGTCAGCTTCATTCAGAATGTTTACTGCCTAGACAATCTGGCTAGCTTCTCGGGAGCATCTGTGTGACCGCCATACCTCTTGGTAGTCAGAACATGGAGAGCTTCTCACTTCTCAGCATTTCTAAACCGCAAATCTCTTCCTCTGCCCTGAGTGCTTTTCCTGATATCATGTCCTCACTTGCCACCAGCTTGCCAGGTAAATGCTGATGTCACTAGGACCATAAAGAGTTGGGATTCCCTTCATTAAACTCATTGGAGTTTTGTTGGAAAAACATGATCCTGTCAGATCATGCTATAGGATCACGATTGGTTGAGAATGCCAAGTAATGTCGGGGGAGAACATAAGTTTTCAAAAGACTGCATTCCTGGTAAATCTTACTGATTCATAATCTCTGGCAAGGGACAGACGGCAAAAGCATTTGTGGTCATATTTCTTTCCCTTAGAGGCAGCTTCTGTACAAAATCTCAAGTGGGTGATTTGCCTATATAGAGAGCAGGCCCTCCCATTAACTTGGTCTTAAATTGGAGAAAAAAAAAAAAACATTAGTTAGTGGCAAATAGGCTAACTGATGAGCGCAGGGAGGAACAAAGGGAGACACGCGAGAACTTGTCAACCAAAGTGTGATCCTGGCTCTTCAGTGTGAGTATCTTGGAAGTCGAGAAAGGCAGCTTCCCAGGCCTCCATCCCAGATGCAATGATTCAGAACAAGATTCTCTAGGGCTTCCTATGCTCGCTGGAATTGAGCTGAACTGCTGTGGGAGTTCTCCTAAACATCCCTTTGCCTCTACAGAGAAAAGTTTAAAATCTGTCTCCTCAAAGCTCAGCCATTGCCACGGGTTCAAGGCAGAGCCACCTAGTGGAGGTCAAACCCAGAGCCTCATGCACACTTGGCAAGTGTTCTCCCACGGAGCTAATCCCCAACCCTAGATGACTGTAAACTTTTCTTATGTGAACTCCTCATTTGAGATTTAGTAGCTACTTCAGGGAACAAATTGCAACAAGGGCCCCTCCACACCCTCTGAGAAACGCTTCAATTGGAGAATGTGGCTTCAATTAGAGAATCCTCACAGGGACCGTGCAACTTGCCTGTGTGGGCTGTGACCAGAGCGTCCATCCTGGAACCTGTGTTCCAGCGTTTTGTGGTTAGGCTACATGTGATAAGCAGGAACATTAGGTGAGGCGTGGGCCAAGGAGAAAAGGTGCTATCTGAGACAAGTCCAGTGATAAAGTTTGAAACCAAGGCTTTAATCATGCTAGACATGATGTTGCCGGCCTGGCCAAATCTTATATTCTGGTTTCCAAAGTAGGTTTCTTAGGTCTGAAGAAACGTCCCTATCTATGACTTCCTGGGACACCACCTAGAACAGGCCAGCTTGTCTGAGTTCAGAGGTCACTGCTTTGCATTAGTTTTCAAATCCCCAAACACAGAGAAGGTGAGCCTCTAAAGTATATCTTGGAAGTTCCCCCGAAGAGGATTGTCAATCTTGCTCAGTTCACCGCTGTTTCTTCTGCAAAGACATAGGTACCCACTGAGGCGTCTAGCCCAGCTCAGGCCCTGCCATTGCAGTACCAAAGCAATGTTCTCTGGCATGGGATGCGCGGTCTCTCCAGGTGAGGCCTTCTGCAGTTCAGGACAGGGCCATGTGGGAAACTACAAAGGGACAGGAGCAGAACCCCAAAGGGAAGGGTGTCTGCAAATCCACTCACCATGTGCTCCCCGCCCCTGCACCTCCTTTAGAAGAGGCCCATAGGCCCATGAAGGCTTCTTACGTCCCCAGTCCTCTCTGCCAAGCTCATGTGGAGAGCCAGTCTGAGCAGTCTATGGATTAGAATGGGTACCGAGACTGGAAAAGTTGGTGGCAAATCGTTGGTGGCAGAAAGATTCTAAGATGTCACATGTCTGTCTGCCTGTCCTTGCCTATCCTTAGAGGTCAGAAGTCAAGTGGTGTCTACACAGGGCAGGGTCTGTCTCCAGCCCAGACACCCAGTGGCTATTTTCCCTAGCAGGAAAATAATGCAGCAGGAATGGCTGTCTTGGGCTGTTCTTCCCATCCCCTCACCACCTGAGGTCTCTCAGCCATCACCAAGGTGGAGCACAGGTCTCCTGAGGTTGTGGCTGCCTGTCTGTCTGCTTTCCCTGACTGCCTCCAGACACTTCAGTCTTCCCTCAGCCCCAAACTCATACCCTGCCCTTTCCTTTGCAGACTTGAGGGACAGCCAGAATGGGGAGCAGCTGAGGCGAAACTGCACCATCTACCGGCCCTGGTTTTCTCCTTACAGCTACTTCGTATGCACAGATAAAGAGAGCCACCTGGAGGCCTATGGGTTCCCAGAGGTGGACTGGGAAGAGGGCAGAGGGGACAACTGCTTTATTGAGGATGTGACTGAGAGTGTCTGCTCATCTTCCTCCTCCCAAGAGAACACATTCCCCAGGGAGGCCAACAGGAAATTCATGCATGGGTTGGAGTCTATTACATCCCAGGATATTCTAATGGCTTCTAAGTGGCACCCGGCCCAACAGAATGGCTACAAGTGTGCGGCCTGCTGCCGCATGTACCCCACTTTGCACTCCCTCAAGAGCCACATCAAGGGGGGCTTTAAGGAGGGCTTCAGCTGCAAGGTGTACTACCGCAAGCTTAAAGCTCTCTGGGGCAAGGAGCAGAAGGCCCGGCCAGGAGACAGGCTCTCCTTGGGTAGTTGCTAGGCCTTCCAGTAGTCTGCTGACACCTTCAGTAAATAGGGATAAAGCCTACTTGTGCCTCTGGAGAGGTAACAATAAATTGATGTTAGTCATAAACTTCTTTGGTCAAGTCTGGTCACCACCTTCAGCTCTTCTTGGTACCCAGGGGATCTTCCTCATCTTCAATTAGTGATTGCCTAGCAACACCAGACCCACCTCTGTCCCCACCCCCCCTCTAGATAAACATCTATATATACTTGAAGTTTGAGAGCATCCTCTAAGCCGCCATGAAAGCAAGGTACCCAGACTCGCAGTAGCGGCCTCCTCTGGAAATCAATAAGAGAAACAATTCTTAAATCACGCTCAGACCTACTTGGTCAGAAACTCCAGGGAAAGAGCCTGACCAGCTGTGTCATAACCATCCTCCACGATGACTCTGAAGCGATTCTGATGGAAATAAACCACTGCTCCAGGGTGCTGGTCTATAGGACCAGTCCTTGCCCACACTGAGGACAAAGGGCAGAGAAAGAATTCCTGTAGTTTGAAAGGTGTCTTAGATATTAACCTTTTGAGGGATTTGTACCTCTGGAGAGGAGCACACGACTCTGGGGATAAGTCAGGAAAGAGACAAGGAGTATGGGCTGTCTCCACCCCATGTACCATGGCTATGGCTCAGAGTGTGTACCTCTTGCTAAAGCAGACAGAATTACGCTTATCCCAGGGGATATATTTCCATGGCTGTTTTGAGTCATGTCAAAATAGGTAAGCAACCATGTGATAACACTGTATTATGTCCCCATACAATGCACCAGCTGGACAGTCCTGACCCTGGCTCCATTTCAGGGCCACCCTCTCTGCCAATATGAAACAGAAAGACTAGGCATTTCCTTTCAGGGACTGGGTACTAATTGTTTTAGTCCCTTTGTTTCTCCCATGATATACGAAGACCCTTGCTTTATGGTTCAGCAGCGCGGCTTCTGTGTATAATTGTGTTGTCAAAATATCACGCATGATTCTTATGTTTCCCCAGCACGAAAAATGCTGTGCTCAAATCCCCATCACACAACATACTGTGAGAACAACCCTGACCCTTCATCAAGTCCTGTATTTCACGGCTTTTTCTGTGCCCTCCCTTCTCAGCAAGAGTACAGAGTCTTGACTGTCAGGCTCAAGAGCTGGGATTTTCAGGCCACAACCTGGCCACTCAGAAGCCAGGTGGTCTCTAGGCAACCTGACATCACTCCCTGGATACCATCCCCCAAGGGATATATGTAGCTGGTGAGCCTTCCTAGCACCCATGCTGTGTTTCTTAACTGGAAAAGCCACCGAGCGCTGGAAGGTGGCATCTTAACATGTGTGGTTGTACTTATATGGCATGTCCCTTTGATAGGGCTCCCTAGCAGGTACAGTGAGAATCATACACAGGAGAGGCCTCTTGGGTTCACCACTGCCTGGGGAAATGAATGGGACCTCTGCCTTACAAGACCCAAGCAGCCAAGAGGAAGACCGGCCATGGGGACTAGAGAAGGGACCACCCTGTGCTCATTGCTACCTAGGGACAGGAAGGTGCCTTGAACATTTTGCATTTAATATACCGAGAGGCATCAGAACTCCATAACCTAGGACCAAGCCCCATGTAGTTTTAGAACATAGAAAAAGGTGCCCAGCAGTTCCTGTACCTACCAGCACAGGTGTGGGAAGGAGGAAGCGCACTAAGATGCTGTAATGTCCCCTGGAGTGGTGCTAGCTATCTCTGCTGGGGTCTTTATAATGCGATCTCATCTGCGCTCATGAAAGCTGCATAAGGCAGGCACCATCCCAGTGTACGGGTGAGGAAACAGCCCAGTTCACTGCACTGTCAGAGGAGAATAGAGGGCACATAAACCTGGTTAATGGCCTTCCTGGTCTTGCCTCTGGCCTGGGCCTGACAAAGCACCAGACTTAACAGCTGCCTGCCTTCAAAACAGCCCAAAGTCCCAGTTTTTGGAAGTCAGAGAAGTAAAGGCTGCATCGTGAGGCCCATACTCCCACATGCCAGGATGTGAATCCTAGTCACTGCAATACTTTTGGGAAGACATGAGGAGGAGCCTGTTTTGTTCTCTGTATGGCACTTGGTTGCAATGGGCACTTTGGGACAACTACCAAATAGCAATCTCAGAGTTCGGGAGTCAGTAAAATTGCATAATTTTGATCCTAGATACTGTAGAAACAATGACATAGTGTTTTTTTTTTTTAAACAAATTCACTACCGCTACCCGCATACTCTAATGGTATCTGGAGTCTGAAAAGACCTGGGGTCATAAGAATCTGAAAAACTGGGTAGAGGCTGGGGGATTACAATCTCTGTTTTAATGGCCTTGGACCAGATAACTCTTTGTCAAGGCTCTCCTATGTATGGTAGGATCTCTGATTTCCACCCTCTGTATGCCAAAACCATCTATCCCCTAGCTATGAGCAATGAGGAAGCATTGCGACACTGTCAAATGTCCCCCAAGGAAGCAAAATTATTTCCAGTTAACAGCAGCAGACTGTCCAGCCCTGCAGGGCTGGCTCATAATCCCTGCAACCAAGGATCCACCTGGCTCCTCCCCTCCAGGAAATATGTATTCTTTCTATATCGTGTCCCAGAGCTGATGATACCTAGCTTAGGAAGTGGGTGCAAGGGAAGGGGACAGAGAAGCAGGTTAAATAGAAGAAGCAAGGAGAGACAACGGAAAAGCTTTTAGAAATAAGAAAGGTTTATTTAGCAAAAGCCACTAACTAGTGACAACATCCAGGGAGTAAGTGCACTTACATCAACAGAATCGTTTCCCAGAGAGCTGATCTGACAGTTAATGACACACAACGGTTTAAGGAAGCAGAGGGCTAGTTGGGGGGGGGGGGAAGCAGTCAAGCAGAGTCTAAAGAAATACAACTCATAAACAAGGTCAGCTGAGAGGAACGAGGCTCAGAAAGGTTTTTACAGACAGCATCAATATAAGCAGGAGATAAGGAACATATTTTCAGTTCCCATAGGCAGTCCATCCGGTGCAGAGAAATTCTGTCCTGCCTCTGCAGCTGCGAAGCCTTGTACGCCCAAGCGCTTTCTGGCACCTGGGGCAGGCTTCAATAAGGAACCCCTGGTGTCCATGTGTCCTCCATAAAGAGTATGGGCAGAGTAAAAGGAAGGAGAAAGGCAGAGTTGAGTTAGCAGAGCAAGAAGCAAGGAAGGCGGAGGATGCTGCTGGGAGCTCAGGTCTGCAGCCTTGCCTGTCCTGTCCATTGGCCTCCATGGAGGGCTGGTGGCTGGTGACCCCACAAGACCACTAGGTCTACTCTTTGTGTCCCATTTCCACATAGCAAGTGTGTACAGGTTTAGTTCTTACGAGGGAGGGTACCAGCACATGAATGAATTCTCCAGAGAAGGTCATAATCAGGGAAAGGGGAAGGTCAAAGAAGGCAGAAACCAAGGGCAAACGTCTTCCATGAGTCTCAAGTCAGCATCCGTCCATTCACAGTCTCTCCAATTCTTCTATTCCTTCCTTTCAAAAGCTTTTAAAGAACCATCATCTTCCCCACACACTTCTTCACTCTCCTCTAGCCCCTCCATTTGTCCCCGATTTCATCCTTGGCCTCTGCTCACGGGGTGGCCCTTGAGGAAACAGAACACCCTCCCGCTCTCTCAGGTACACCAAAGCTTGGATCCACAGGTCCTAGACTCAAGGAATCCTGGGTCGGGATTGAGTAAGTTAGACAGGCTCAGCCAAACTTGATTCCTGCCCGCTGCTCCTGCAGTTTTGGGAACCTCACATCTCAAATCCTTCCTTCCTTGTGTATCTGGACCTCCTTCCAACGGTTAATTAGAAAATCAACAGAATTTTACCTCTTCAACTAAATGCAGGGTGGGAAAAGGAAACAACGCTATTGTTCATCCCAGCACTCTGGAGCTCTTTCTAGTCACGTCTCAAGTTCAAAAGCATGACCTTGCTTCCCTTACACACACACACACACACACACACACACACACCCTGATACACTCGGGAGTAATAATGTAAACCTATGCTAATTTCCTTTAACTTGACTGTTTAGTTTAAAAGAAACTCCACTGTCGCTGTAAGAAAGGGCCATGCATGTATTCAGATGCTTTCAAAGCAAAGCTGGGGCTGAAAGAACTCCATTTGGGCAACTCCATCCTTATTAACTGTCGGGCTGGTAACACTGCAGTTCAGCCTACGCTTGTCCAGGATGAAAATGAACAACCGCACCCCCAACCCTACTCTCCTACCCCTACCCCTCCCCCCCCCCCCCGGCTGCCAATCATATGACTTTGAACATGTCTCCGCTATCTTTTCAGGAGTTGGAAAATCTATGAATCAGTTAAGGTCTTATGGGGGGGCAGGTTTCTCATGAGCAAAGCCAGCCCGTTACTGAGTGGAGACCCCTAGGCAGGGCCTAGATGGTGAGAGATTAAAGCTGCACTTGCAACACCTGTGCTCAAGGCACACACTCGCAGAGAGATGGGCTGGAGTGCCATGTCTGTGATCCCTGATCTAAGTGGCAGTGATTCTGAAGGGTAAATAATCTCAGCCATTAGCCTGAATCAACCCCTC